GAGCCACCCAGACGCCCCATTCTCTTTTTTAATCCAACTGAGACCATATCATACAAGCTGTTCCCTACTTTGCTCTTCTCACCTAATGATATGTGGTGAGCCTCTGTCCCATGAGCACATGACATACAGCTTTGCTCATTCCCTCCTGCGGCTGCATAGCATTCCCGAGTCTGGCTTGCCAGCACCTTAGGTAACCAGATGCCTGTTGTGGGATATTCAGGGTGCCAGAGGTTGGAACAACTAGTTAGACATCTTGGGGGGGTGGGTACAAAAAACGAGTGGCGTGGTTGGTTAAGTGTCTGCCTTCGGCTCAGGTCACAATCCCCGGATCCTGAGATAGAGTCTCACATCCGGCTCCCTGCTCTGCCGGGAGCGTGCTTCTCCCTCTCCCACTCCCCCTGCTTGTGTTCCGTCTCTCGCTCTCTGTCAAATAAATAAATAAAAATCTTGAGAGAAAGAAAGAAAAAGGAAGGAAGGAAGGAAGGAAGAAAGAAAAAGAAAGAAAAGAAAAGAAAAGAAAGAAAGAAAGGAAAAGAACCTTATAACGTGCGCGAAGTTTGGAGCCTTGACTGCAGCGGTGACGTGCAATGCGCCCGAGGCCCAGCAGGGGGCGCGGGGAGGGGCTGAGGGTGCGGCTCAGAGAGGCCGGCGCCGAGCGGCGGGAACGCCGGGCAGCCCTCGCGTGCTCCGCTGGGCTCTAGTTCGGAGGGCGCGGAGTCCCGACCCCTCGAAGCCCCTTTCTCAGGTTCCGGGGCGGCAGGTGCGTGGAGAAGGGCGAGGCCGGGGTCCTGGTGGTTCCTTCGAGCGCGCTCCTCCGCCTCCACTCGCGTCGGTGCAGAGACGGTCCCACGGCGATTCTACTGACGGGTCTGCAAGTACTGCACTTTAAAGATAGAAAAGAAGCAACCCAAATGGATGCGTCTGCTACCCTGAGAACTGTCCTCCTCCAGGGTGACTCTGGAGGTGGCCGGAGAGCTGCGGGGGGACAGCGGGCCCCCTGCCGCCCACCCTCCGCCCGCTCTCCTCGCCCCACGCCCGCGGCCAGCATCCCCACCCTCGGGCGCCAAGCCCCTTCAAGGGGGACACTGAAGCCGGAGAGAGGCGGACACAAGCGCTGGAGGGACAGAGACTGGGGCTCAGGCCTCGACCCGGAAGGGAGAGGAGGGGGGCAGCAAGCGCAGGTGGCGACGGAGCCTCAGAAGAACACGCGTGGGGGGGGGCCGAACCCGCACACCAACGTCGCACGCCAACCGAACACCACGTCCCCGCACCGGTCCCCCGCATCCGTCCTGCATCCGTCCCCCGCATCCGTCCGCGCACCGGTCCCCCGCATCCGTCC